TCACTGCCTTACTTTGATGACGTACCATGCAAACCTTCGTTCATCTTCAGAACACAAATCATTTTTTTTTGATGAAATCCAAGAGCTTTCTGGCCCTCCATAGACAGCAAGGGAACTACCACAGTCAAAGCACAGAAACATACTATAGACATCATTAAAATAGTCCATGTGACATCAGTGGTTCAACCGTAATTTCTAGAGCACATTGCGCATGCTATCAAATGGAGTTTACTTTGAATTCGCAAAAATATGTGTGCACACAGTCCTGTAGTCCGCCATTGTTGTTTTGGTTGTCAAGTGCTCACCTATAGACTAAACGTAATATGCATGCGCAGTATGTTATCATTTTACCGTTTTAGTAGTTTACACAGAGACGACAATTGGATTAAATAATAATAATAATAAAAACTGTGCTATTACTCTTTTGGGATAAAGCTAGTGAATTAAACTGACAAAATAAAAAACTCTGACAATTTTTGCTATGATGAGATCTGGAATTTCGAGTGGAGTGACTCACTCAGGCCTGTGACCATTTCTATGACCATGGCTTTACTGAGGACTGATTCAGTGTGCATTATCGAGTGGTTGTTTCGTTCGGACGATTTTATGTTTGAAGATAATTCTTCAGGACCTCTGACTGCCATCGAGCTCTTACATTTACATTTACATTTATATTTAATCATTTAGCAAACACTTTTATCCAAAGCAACTTACAAATGAGAACAATAGAAGCAAACAGACCAATGAGAGAGCAACAACAGTATACAAGTGCCATGACAATGAAAGAATGAATGAATGACGCATTTATATAGCGCTTTGTTGTGTATTGTTGTACACCCAAAGCGCTTTACAATCATGTGGGGGGGTCTCTCCTCAACCATCACCAGTGTGCAGCATCCACTTGGATGATGCGACGGCAGCCACAGGACAACAGCGCCAGTGCGCTCACCACACACCAGCTACAGGTGGAGAGGAGAGAAAGTCATAGAGCCAATCAAGTGGTTGGTGATTATTAGGAGGCCATGATTTACAAAGGCCAGGGGGGCAATTTGGCCAGGACACCGGGGTTACACCCCTACTCTTTACGAGAAGTGCCATGGGATTTTTAATGACCACAGAGAGTCCGGACCTCGTTTTAACGTCTCATCCGAAAGACGGTGCTTTTTGACAGTATAGGTAAGTGCTAGTATTAGTTGGTCAGGTGGGTTTTGGCTCATTGAAGACCACTCTTGCTGCTGCATTCTGGATCAGTTGCAGAGGCTTGATAGAACATGTGGGAAGGCCCGCCAAGAGAGCATTACAATTGTCCAATCTGGAGAGAACAAGAGCTTGGACATGAAGTTGTGTGGCTTGCTCTGACAGGAAGGGTCTAATCTTCCTAATGTTGTATAAGGCAAATCTGCAGGACCGGGCCGTTGTAACAATATGGTCTGTGAAGCTTAACTGATCATCGATCACAACTCCTTGGTTTCTGGTTGTCCTGGAAGGAGTTATGGTTGATGAACCCAGCTGTAAAGAGCAGTTGTGATGAAACGATGGGTTTGCTGGAACCACAAGCAGTTTTGTCTTAGTAAGGTTGAGCTGAAGGTGATGGTCCTTCATCCAGCTAGAAATGTCTCTCAGACAGGCTGCAATGCGAGCAGCTACCGTCGGATTATCTGGTTGGAATGAGAAGTAGAGTTGAGTGTCATCAGCATAGCAGTGATAAGAAAAGCCATGCTTCTGAATGACAGATCCTAATGACGACATGTAGATGGAGAAGACGCTCTCCACATCAATCTCCTCGGAGGAAGATAGGAGAAGCGCCGAGCCCACTCTCCGGGGGGAGGTAGCCGCAGAACGGGCTTCCGATCCCAGCGAGTGGGCAGTGGATCTGGCAGGTGAGGAAGAAGATAGGGATTCGCCCGTCTCCATTCCCTCAACCAGATCCAGCTGCGAACCCCTCCAGCACCGTGAGGAACGCTGGTGAAGGCTCCCTCCTCAAAGAGAGTCTTCCGGGAGCAAAGCAAACGCAGTGGCAACTGCTCACATGCTTTTAAAGCTTCCTGGTCATGACATCACCCGCCGCTGACGTCTCGCCCATCGTTCGACTGATTACACATGTGATTCAGAGCTTGGTATCGCTGAAGGCGTTCCCCTAGCGTTTTCTGACGCAGCTTGAGTTCCCGAAGGGGAACTGCCTAATGTTACAGAGTGAAATGGTGATCCAGAAAGTGGTAAATTTTGAGTTAATAGAATTTCTTTTAATTGGTCTGACCATTTTTAGTCATTGCATTTTTTGAAGGGGTGGGGTGGCGCATAAAGTATGGTAGCACTGTGAGTAATGTATTGTGATTTTCCATCATTGTGTTAGTTCAATAATCTTTGTTTACATATTTCTGTCTTACGGTTTATTGTGTCTTTTGTTTCTGTTTGTTCATTCAATAAACCTTTGGGTTTGTTATAACTCTTATGGGGTCTACCTGCTTCACTAGAGTTGAGTTAGGATATTAGGAAAACGTATAGACCCTTTTCAGTACTGCTCCCATTCTCTTCTGTCTCCCGGTTTGTATTTCCAAAGCATGAACATAAGGTCATACAAATTTAAGAATGAACAGCTCGTTTTAAAATCTTTGCAGTCTACTGATATTTGTTATGATGTCTGTTTCAAAAATTACAATGCACATGATACTCTAAAATAAGTAAATCCTCATCACCTGCTAATTACTCTTCAACAGTGATGCTATAGAAATATACAGAGCCAGCACAAAAACAAAAGTTCAAAAACTAAAATCTAAAGATAGTGTCTCACTCGAGTCTCTGACACAACATTTCTATATATTCTCAAACATGAGTATAGTTTTCTTAAGTGGTGGCACCATGCTCTAAAACAAGAAGTTATTATTGTAGTAGGTAAATATCCATTCATCAGGGAAAAGGCCAATCAAGGGCACCTGTGGTGACATTGTATGAGTGTACAATGGGTTAGGGGAGGGTTACAAAAGCGCAAAGGTCAGCGATGGTTTGTGTGTCAAAGAGAAACACGTGGCTGTGGGTCAAATGAGTAGCTGCTCAAAGTTTCATGAATGATTAGCTTTATCATTCATGCAAATTCTTCAAGATAAAGCAATACATGTATGTACAGAGCAAAATTGGAAACCAAAATGATTCTATAAAGCAATTGCATAACGGCTTACACTGTTGGGGAGTAGCTAGCTACAAGTAGCGACGCTACTTTTAAAACAGTGTAGCTTTTCCAGTAGCTAACTACTTTTTCCAGCAAGTAGGGGTGTAGCATGACCAAAAGTTACATTTAGTTTTTCGTTCTGACGAGTCACGAGCCTGTAATGCACTGAAGCAGCGCAGTGTCTTCTTCTAACTAGATCACAAACTGAATTTGTTTATTACCGCCATCTGCTGTGATCTAACGCATCACGCAGCTTTAAGGTCTGTCCACCGACAAAAGATTGTCTGATGGTTTTGAAAAGGATGTACAGGAATGGATATTTCACATGAACCAACTATAACTTACGCAAAACAAAGATTAAAATGCAGTCTACGCCGAAGACTTAAAGTACATACAAGAGGTGAATAATAGCCTTTTTAAACTGATTTTAGAGTGGCCTTTTATTGCTGGCCCCTAAGGCACACCTGTGCAATAATCATGCTGTCTAATCAACATCTTGATATGCCACACCTGTGAGGTGGATGGATTATCTCGACAAAAAAGAAGTGCTCACTAACAGAGATTAAGACAGATTTGTGAACAATATTTGAGAGAAATAGGCCTTTTGTGTACATTGAAAAAGTCTTAGATCTTTGAGTTCAGCTCATGAAAAATGGGGGCAAAAACAAAAGTGTTGTGTTTATAATTTTGTTCAGTATATATAGCTATACAGTCTTTTATCACTCTGTATATCGGATAGTTTACAAAATCAAACGATTGGGACACTTTTTATCATTGAAATGGCTTGGAAAATTGTCACAATAAACCTGAATTCACCATACTCTTTGAAAAATTTATTGCATTACAGTTTCTTTTAAACCCCAAATATTTTACTTATAACTTCATTATAATTCTTCATGAATAATTATTTAGTTATTTGTAATGTTAATTGTAAAAAAAATAATAATAATAAAAAATTTGAAAGTAGTTTCAATGTACTACTTTTTCAGAAGGTTAGCTAATTTACGAGTAGCTTGTAGCTGGTCAAGCTACAGTTTCAGAGTAGTTTCCCCAACACTGATGGCTTAGCTTGATAACATGACTTTAAGTGTGTCAAACATTAAAATAAATAAATAAATAAAAAATACTTTTTTCTTTAATTTTTTTATATCTTTGTTTAAATTAGTTTGTTGTCCAACAAATGTAATTTTTCCTTTAAATATTTCATCAGCATTTTTTCTTCAGATTTACGCAATTCACGCTATCCATACTTCTCAGACTAAAAAAATATGGAAATCTATGTAATTATGACAAAATCACATCCCAAGTAAATTCTTATTAAAAAAAATAATAAATAAATGTACCTAGTAAACTATTAACTAGTACTCATTCATTTAAACCATTAGTCGACTAATTGAACGTTTATATTAATTTAATTATTTAAAAATAGGCTACTCAAATATACCAGCCTTTAATATACAGCCTATTCCATTCTAAAGTGCACCCAAAGCTTGCCACAAAGCACAGGCAAAATTAATTTCTATGAATGTGTGGGGGGGGAAACATATATAAAGGAAATATTTAATAATTTATTCATAAACTAGAATTTTCGTATTTTCCGAAGGCACGCCACATGTTGTCTGTATATGTTAAATGGTGAGATACCTGCTAAGAATTCTCTTCATCATACTGATTAAAACGGGGATGAAAGTTTCATTGTGCAAGTGCCTTTGCTGAGAAAAAAATAAATAATTTCAACTTTCCACCACATAGATTATGGTGCAGTCTGGTTAAAGTGCACAAGAGGTACTTGATCACATGCCTTACCTCTGTCCCACTCATGCTGGAACTGCCCCCAAACTGCTCTGCCTCCACTTCATATATAGAGAACACAGAACAAAGAGTTATGGAACTGAGAGAACATAGAAAGACAAACTGGGCTGTAAGCAACATGGAACTCTCTAGCTCACTGGTGTTGGTTTTAGTCTTGGCTGTGTTGATGTTGGTCTGGTGGAAGAGGAAGGCGAGTGGACTTTCATTGCCCCCGGGGCCACTGGCACTGCCACTGATTGGCAACTTACCAATCATGGACAAGCATGCACCCTTTAAAAGCTTTATGCAGGTAAAAGAGGTAGCAGGACTATATATTTCTGAATGTTATGCTTCAAAAATAAGCATGTGAATTGCATCTTAATGAAAGGTTGTTGCATTTTAGTCTTGTGCAGATGTTTACCAGTGCATCATAGCAGAGTTTTCATTGGTGGATTAAGCTGTGCCACAGGGAGATTTCTTTTTTTGTGTGTGAAACATTGTCCACCAATCACGGACAAGCATGCACCCTTTTAAAGCTTTATGCAGGTAAAAGAGGTAGCAGGCCTATGTATTTCTGAATGTTATGCTTCAAATATAAGCATGTGAATTGCATCTTAATGAAAGGTTGTTGCATTTTAGTCTTGTGCAGATGTTTACCAGTGCATCATAGCAGAGTTCCCTTTCGTGGAACTTCGAACTGCGTCCTCTAGGGGTCGCTATGGGGAACGCCTCGTCGTGACCCGTGTCTGAAGCCTACATTGAAAAAACACCAACTTGTTTGGCCGGCGACAGCCATGACGTCACTACCGTGGCAAGTAGTACAAAATAGGCGCCGGTAGCGCACATCATCACTTTCTTCGTCTTCACTGACCGTTCTGTTTGAAGCGTGCATTCCAAAAGCAAAGTAAGAGCCTTTTCTTTTCCTACTATGGCGAGCACTAGCGGAGCATTTAGAAAGTGTGTACATCCATGTCAGCGGTTTCTGACACTCGATGATTCACACGATCTATGCGTTTTTTGTTTGGGCGAGGAGCACGCATGCGATGTCCTCGAGGGGGCAATCTGCGTGCACTGTGAGAGCTTTTCGCTGAAAAGCTCCCGTTCTCGTTTGTCTCTCTTCTCGAGTGGAGAGGGACAAACCATCGGTTTCCCGCGGCTCGGGACCTGCCGCTGCTGAGGCACGGAGGAGAATGAGCTCGTGGGGATCTCAAGTGGACCTAGCCGATGAGGCTGAAGGGGGGGGGGTTTCCCTCTTCCGCGCATCGGGAGAGACAGCTGCTGGACGATGATATCCTCTCTCTAATATCATCCGATCCAGGGGCCAGTGCTCAGTGGGGCCCAGCCCAAAAGAGCCAGGGAATGGATGTGGAGAGTGAAGAAGCCGAGGCTGAGCTTTCTCAGTCCACCTGCCCTGCGTATGGTGAGCTGCTAGAGGTAATGTATCGGGCCACGGCGAGGCTCGAATTACCGTGGAAACGAGCCAGGGAGGGGACGTCGCGAGGTCGCCTCGACGAACGTTATCTCTCCGGCCATACACCTCCAGCTCAAGTGAGCCTTCCTTTCCTTCCCGATCTCCACACTGAGATCGAGAAGGAATGGAGGAGGCCGTTTTCCTCACGCATATATC